AAAAAAACTGCAACATTTGAATAGATATCTTTTCTACAAATGTTCAACATTTGTTTCCTCCACATACAAATAAGTTAAAATATTGACCTACATAAGGGGTGTCAAACTGCCGGCCCGTGGGCCATATGCGTCATGATGAAACCACGCCCACCCCATTGCCGGCAATGGGGAAAAAGTTCCAATACGTCACGTAACATCGCGAGTTTGACATGTCTGACCTACATTAACCACAAAATGTTAAGAAAAAGTAGTTTGGTCAATGCAAGATAAAGAATTATCATTTTGGAAGGAATCCTGAAACTCTAAAATCTAAACGATTTTGTGGTACGTGTCCTTGACTTACAACTCTAAGGGAGCCTGGAATTTCCACTGTATGTCGTGATGGTCACGTATCAAGGCACCCACATGAATGACCCAATTTTATGGGGGGGTTTTGGCAGTTGTAGAACAAACACAGTGGTCATAAAGTAAAGGGTCTTGCTATCTCCTCTGCTAATTTCCCCAATGACTTTGCTTATGGGAAGCTAGCAGGGAAGGTTGCAAGTGGTCATCATGTGACAGCAGAAGACTGTCAGAAGTTGGAATGACCTTTAATGGAACCACCTCATTTAACCCCCCCCCTTCCTGGTTTCCCCAATGCAATCGTTAAACGGGACAGCCTTTAACTGAACAGCCTCACTTAACAACACCCCATTCCTATTCTTCCCAATGCAATCTTTAAATGAACACACAGGACATTAAGTGAAACGTGGGAGGTCTCAAGGATCGAGGAAGCCCTGGAAGGCCGATTGTAGGCACAAGGCCACCTGCCTTGGGCCATCCCTCACTCCAAGATACCCTGTGCTCTGCTTCCCACCCCTGGGGACCCACATAGTCCTTAGGCCTCCTATAAAGCCTTCGACTACATACCATGACATCTGAATAATACAAGAGCTAAATTCAATGCCTTATTCTTTTGCTCTTTTCCTGTTATAATTCTCAGCAAAAAAAAATCATAGAAAGTTTGAGCACACAACAAATGTGAAAGCACAATAAAAATATGCCTCGTCAACGGCTATTCTAAGACAAGCCATTACAAAAATACATTACAGGTAGTCCTTGACTTACAACCATTTGTTTAGTGCAGTGTTTCTCAACCTTGACAATTTTAAGGCATGTGGACTTCAACTCCCAGAATTCCACAGCCAGCAATGTTTAGTGACTGTTTGAAGTTTACACTGACACTGAAAAAAGTGACTTATGACTATGCAGCATCCCCGAGATCAAGTGATCCAAATTTGGTTGCTTGGCAATTGGCTCCTATTTATGATGGTGCAGTGTCCTGGGGTCATGTGATCACCTTTTACGACCTTCCGACAAGCAAAATGAAGCCGGATTCACTTAACAATTATATTACTAATTTAACAACTGCAGTGATTCGCTTAACAACTGTGGCAAGAAAGGTCGTAAAATATTGGGCTCAATTGTGGTCATAAGTCAAGGACTATCTGTACAAAACTCCTGTTCTCCCTGGGAAGGCAGGATGAGAATTAAGATATATGAATTCATCTTCTCCAGAAACAGGAAGTGTGTTTGATAAATCCTTCTTTAAAAGCGAGATAGGAACAGTTATCTTATCCAAGTTATTCCCTTCCACTGAAAGAGAGCTTCTAATAAGAAGAATTTGTCACTTAGCAAGAGTTTTTTTTTATTCTTGGTTCAAAAATATTATAATAAAAATTCTATTTGTTTCTCTAGAACACAGGTCGGCAACCTGCGGCTCCGGAGCCGCATGCGGCTCTTTGGGCCTTCCCCTGTGGCTCCCAGCCTCCTCTGCCTTTGCAGAGAGAGACAGAGACAGAGAGGCAATTGCACTTCCCTGCTTCTCTCTCTGTTTGTGTGTCTGGGTGTGTGTGTGTGTGTTTTGTGTGTGTGTGTGTGTGTATTTGTAAAAGAGAGTGCACTCACAGTGTTCTCCGAGGAGCTGAAAAGCTTTCTGGGCGGAGCTCCTCCCTTTGCTGCGTCTCTGAAGGAAGCAGGAAGCAGGAAGGGCAGGAGAGAGCTAGCTAGCCCAGCTAGGCTGACTCAGGAATTCTGGGAGTTGAAGTCCATGAGTCATAAAAGAGACGAGGTTGCCTACCCCGGAGGTTGTTGGACAACAGCTTGTAGCTTGCCAGGTGAGCAGCAGATAGGAGGGGGGGGGGAGAAAGAGAGAGAGAGGGAGAGAGAGAGAGTGGGGGAAGAGGAGTGGCAGACCAAGGGCAGATAGAGAGGGAGGGAGAGAGAGACCCTTTTGACATCTAAAATGAAGATAACACTGCATATATCCTTTTTTTACCTGTGTGTGTATGTAATTTTATTCTCTTAAAGCATTCTCTTGGTGATCATTGTTTTAATAGTATGGATATTCCCAAGAGTCATATTTTTACTTTTATTTTTAATGTGTATATGTGTGTGTGTGTGTGTGTGTGTGTGTGTATACACATATACACATATATACACATACACACACACATACACATACACACACCTATAATAAAGGTAAAAAAGGATATATGCAGTGTTATCTTCATTTTAGATATCAAAAGGGTTTTGCGGCTCCCAGTGTTTTGTTTTTGGTGGGAAACGGGTCCAAGTGGCTCTTTGAGTGTTTTGGGTTGCCTACCCCTGCTCTAGAATGACAAAACTGGTCAGCCACTGATTTACAGGTGGCGTGAGTCATATGAACACCTATCAGTGAAAAATGTTCCTTCAAGATAATCATGTACAGAATTATATCACCAAATAACTAATCTTATGGAAAGATCTAGACCAGTGATTGCGAACTTTTTAAAGACCGAGTGCCCAAATTGCAACCCAAAACCCACTTATGCGTCTTCAGGTGCCAGGTGGGTGTGGCACATTGGGTGGGTATGGCCCATTGGGTGGGTGTGGCCCATTGGGTGGGCACGGCTGTGGTGGTAACGGCAGACTGGTTGAGACTAAAAAGTTCAATCAATCAATTCCAACTTTACAAGATTTTTTTTCCCACGAGAAGTTGAAATTGACTGATTGATTGAACTTTTTTTTTTTGTGCACATGGCGGAGGCCTAAAGCGAAAAGGTTTTATAAAACCCAGCTGATGGCCTACGACTGGGGTGACGGTGCAAGTGCCCACAGAGAAGGCTGTGAGTGCCACCTCTGGCACCCATGCCATAGGTTCGCCACCACTGATCTAGACACTATTTCTGGCTTGTCTCTTTATAGGACACAAAGAAATACATAAAGTACAAAATAAGTCAGCTGCTAACTTTTTATATTGCTACAAACTTCTAGACAAAGAATGAAACTGAAATCAACTCACTGTTAAGAATTCCTATTTTAAAAAATAACTATGATTGTATGAAACAATTCATACTCATGCATGAACTCCAAGGTCATACTTCAGTTCCATGGGACAATTTACCTGGAGAAACTGGTAAAATATTGTATTTTACTTTTATTGCTGAGAAGAGCACAAAACAGAATGCAGTGCCCACATTTGTGTTCCTTTGACTTTGATACTAATAGAGCTAAAAAGAATTATTAAAGTAATGTTCTCAGAAAAATGAGGATCATTTGTATATTTGCAGAGAATTCTCTGTTATCTCCCTTTTTTTGCTATGGGTGGTCTATATGAATAGAGGTGTGAGTGGAACATTTTAGCTCATGGCTTCCCAAAGGCTTTAGAACAGCTCTTGGAGCTACTGCCATCAATTTCAACAACCCAGAACATTTATATTTATAAGAAATAGAAAGACAAACATGCAGCTGGACATTTAATTAATTCCATAGCCAGAAATGTTACACTGCCCTGTATCTCACTACAAACTATTATTAAAGTCTACTCAAATTATAACCAGTGGTGCAAATTAATGTGTCACGTGGCACTCAAGCCAAATAACAAGTTCTTTGAATTGCTAATGCTCCACTCAACTCTTTAGGTGCTGGTCCACACTGTACATACATATGGAGAGTACCAGGATTGAGGAAATTAAGACAGTGATGAGGATTTTCCAAAGATTTGCCACTCTCCTAAATATTTAAGTATGATTTAGCAGGTTCTGAGTATTTTGTATACAAAATTGTGAATATATTAATTTTTAAGCGCTTTATAAATTATAGCACAATCTAGAGTAGCTGCACTGAAATCACTGATTTAAAAAACAGAACAAAACAAAAACATGTAAAGCAGTTTAAGTGTTGTGCTAAAAATCTGGACTTTACTTGGAAATTATTTTTGTTGGGTCAACATGTAAGCCTGATAGTCCAGTAACACATACAGCACTTATCACTTTATGTAATTAATATTCAATGAGAATATTAGAGGTAGAGGACAGGAAGACCTGGAGGAACATTGTCCATGGGGTCGCGATGGGTCGGACACGACTTCGCAATTAACAACAACAACATTCAATGAGAAAAAAAAATGAAGGGATTGAAAATACCTAATTTTAGCACACCTGAGGAGCTTTTTTTAAACAGATAACTTCTAAAAGAAACAATTGCCATTCTTATATTGCTATTGCTTCTGACAGGTGGGTACTGTAACATTTCTACTGAGGACTTGGATTTGGAATGTTCCCTCTCCAAACTTTTCATACACTTCTAATAATGTCCATTGGAAGACAACTGAGGAATCTCAATGAAGCAGCACAAGTACCATTTTGGTAGCAGAAATAGAGACAAATGCCAGAATTACAACTGGTTAGAAAAAATTCTCCCCCAACTACTCTAACCTGTACAATCTAACACAGTGGTTCTCAACCTTTTTAATGTCGCGACCCCCAACCGGTTGTAAGTCAAGGACTACTCAACCGGTCGTAAGTCAAGGACTACTCAACTGGTGCAGCACCGTTTGCAGAATGGGACTTTTGGTGGGCTCAGCAGGGCAGAGACAGCCTGGACAATTCCTATTGGCTTTTGAGACTCTATTCAAGAGAGTCTATTCTATTGGCTTTCGAAAGCCAATAGAATAAAAGGGAGTAGCACAGCTAAGGAAAAGGGGAAAAAATGGCGGACTGCGTTGTTTGGCGACCCCCGTGAAATGGTCGTTCGACCCCAAATGGGGTCCCGACCCACAGGTTGAGAACCACTGATCTAACACTTATTCTAGGAGAAACATGTACAACACTAATTCTACAAAAGGTCCCAGCTTGCCCATGGAAGTAATGAGTAATGAAACAGTGGTTTCATTTCCCCTGCATACCCCAAAACCTCCCACCTTGATCCCAGAACAGCAAAACAATGGAGTACCTTTGACAGTACATTTATATATACAGTAACTTTATTTATATATATTTCTATCCCTTTCACATGGAACACATTTTGATGTGTGAAACTATGTCTATGTAAATAACCTTCTAATTAGCATGGCCTGATTTTCTACGTTTAAATCACAAATAAGTTTAATGCTTCTTGAACAATGTGCATACTATTTCACTGCCATGCAACTGATTAATTATTTAAATCCTACTCTTCATCCAGAGTTGTTTACAGACTAAAAACAAGACAATTAGACACACCAAGAAATGCACTAGACCAGGAGAGGGCAAGCTTTGGTAGTTGGGAGCTGCCATTTTATTTATGTAGGGCAGGCTGCAGCAGGTAGGATGGTGAAGCAATGTCACAAACAAGGTGATGAGACCAGGATTTCCAAATGTGACTGTTTGTTTTCATTTTAGGGGTGTGTTAAGCCTAAAAATGAAGCTGCCACCACTTCCCACTTAAAACCAGCAGGAAATCACATCTGGGTTTGGCAGCACAATTTAACGAGGCTTGAGTTGCCCACCCCTCTAGACATATAACATGGTAGTAGTTTGGCACAGAAGATATAATTATAAAGTATAAGAAGTGTAAACATAAAGGGAAAAAACTGAAGTTATGGTTGTATTTATATTTGGCTCTTCCTTCAAAAACAGTGTAGAATACAATCACAAAAATAGTATCTGAAATCCTTCATAGATGTATTTAGAAAATAGTCCCCTCAAACTGAGAGCTACATGTTTCAAAAATAATTGTCTGGAATTAAGTCAAGAGGTATTAACCAAGACAAAACAGTGCTTGACCATAAGATGGATCTTGTCTTAACTGGTTTGTAACATCAGACAGTTTTTATTTCTGAATGACATAAACATCATTGAAGAGGTGAGAATTTTCAACCTCTTCATACCAGCTGTAACATAATAAAGCTTCTATATATTAATTCACCTTTAAAATGTCTAGATTTGATTTTTATCAATTCACAAATAAGCCCAATACCATGCATAATTTGGGATATGCTGTTCTGAAGCAGAACACCAAACGTTTACAGGATTAGTCTTCTGTGGAGGAAGGGTGCCTTTTCATATCATAAAATGAGAGCATCTACCTTCGAGAAACAGAAATCATCAATTACATTAGCGCACAACCTTTGGAAATGAAAAAGTTACAATGAATATGAAAGGCATGAATTCACCAATAGAAAGTTGGGCAGAAATTTCTGGGAGGCTGTTTTTTTAATTGTAATATGTCTATTTTCTAGTTTACATGATCCATTTGTGTTTCTAATATCTAAATTAAACTAATGAGTTTTCAACAACCATAATCAAAGACAGCTCCATGGCTGAAAATAACAGGCTTGGGGAAAGGGGGATAGGTTACCCACTGCTGAATTATACATTTACATTCCATCTCTAGAAATCCATTGATGGAATTGTCTTCCTTAATGTTGTTGTGGAGATATTATATTTTTGTCCTTTTTGTGTTACGTTTTAAGTTACCTTAGGTTTGAGAAGAAAAAAAACTCATTTTCCTTTGTTCTATTCAAGATCAAGTTGAGTTTTAGAAAAGAACGCTTTTGCCTCCAAATTTTTTCTTTCTTGTTCCTTTATCTTTGAATATCTCTCCGTGTTTTTCCATTTTCATTCTTACCCATTCTGAACATTTCTGGATCTTTTCCTCCCACTTAAGAGATACTAGAGGGATTACAACTCTCAAATGGAGTTCAACTGACTTTTACCTGATTACAAGCATGCATTTTTAAATTTCCTATTTATACTTCTCAAGGTTTTTAAAGAGCCAGTGGCTTAATGTATGAATCGTTATGTCTTGCATTGTACATGATTATCTGTGACAGCTCAGGTTCTTGATCATTTGAAGCATAACAGAGTATCCCCCCTTTGCCATTATTTCTATTATTTCCTCTCTTCTAGTTTTCACTGTCCTAAAGCTTTTAAGGCTTACCTATGTATTAGAAATTATTTGAAGCTTATATCAAAGAGTTATAAAGAGGAAGGCAAGAGATAATTTTCTGTGTTATACTTCTACCTATTTTGGAATTTAAAATAAAAGTGCCATTGCTTTTTACTCTGCCTATATATACTATTTTTTATCAATGTCTAATGATGATTTGTATGTTGACTGTCATAACTGTCAAAATATTTTAGCTTTAAAAAAAACTTGATGCAAGCAATCCTAAATACTGTTTTTACCACAGAAGTGTGGAAACTGTATTTTTTATACACAGAATAATGCATTTCAATCAACACTTTTCTTTTATTAATTAAATCTGCAGTAAACATATGTGCAAATAACATATTATATGTGCAATACTGGGTAATCTTTTCAAAATGATATACTAGCTATACCTATAGCTACTAGCTACATACTGCTACACTATACTAGGAATGCATAGGCAAAAAAAATACACTACTTTGTTTCTAGGCATCCTACTATGTCTGAAAACAATTAAACCGGAAATTCAAAAGAAAAATATTAAGTATCTTCTAAAGTTTTCTTTCAGAATACATGTTACAAATTAAGCCTCAAATGACTTTAAGACCTGAAATTCAAAGAAAGTCACAAAGTAACATTGTTACTCCATACAATTAGGATACTGTATATACAATCTGTAATTTATCTGGGGAGAAAACTCCCTATTTTATAACATATAAAATATCTTGAAATATTTAGTGTGAGAATTATTCAAGCATATTAGACCTGGAACATGGTGGCAAATACTATACACTAATCAGTTAGACTTTTCTTGGTCTTCATATGCCTCACATTCCTTCATTTACTATACAAATGAAAAATTGAAGATTTCAAAATACAGAAATGCTACCAAGACATGAATTAACATGAGAAAACAATGAGGAGCTTGCTCCATTCACTTTCTGAATGCCATGAAAGTGAAAATAAAACTTCAGAATAAACAGCTATGGACCTTGCAGATACCAATTCTGATTAGCAATATATTTATTTAGTATTTTCCATGTTACTGTTGACAGAAAGAATGTAAATTAATTTTTAAAGGAATAAATGTAACTACTTATTACATTATACTTGCAGCCATACAAATTCCATTCTTCTTCCTTTGATGTATTATAGGAAATATAGATTTCTTCCATGTTGTATCTAAAATGCTCTTAAATCAAGATAAACTTAAAACAGAAAGAATAGTTTTAGTTCCCATTTATCAACTATAAAGTTCAAAATACTTTGTATCTTAAAATCAAACAATCTGCAGTTTTGTTTCTCACAATGTATGTATACACATATTTTTTAGATAAAACTTTCCTAGGGCTCCCCTTATGACAATGTTCAGATTGTTTAGGGGAAAACAATTGACTTGATTACTCTTTGTCAATTATCCTTTTTAACATAATTTTAATATGTATTTCTTATTTTTCAAGCAGAAATAGAATATGCTATATGTATTAATCCCTCAATGGAAGGAATTATATATGCTCTCTCCTTAAAAGTATCCAAACTTTTCATACCAGGCAGAAGTTCCTGCAAGTCCCTATTTCTTCCAAACATCACAGCAAAAGAATCTTGAAGTAGAGAGATCAATATGCTGCTGAGTGACACTTTTATCAGATGTCAGTCAATCCAATTGGATACCTGCACTTATGCAAACTTGAGATAAGCATCTTTACGGCGATGCCTTGGCTTCTGCTCTGAGGACAGTTCTATTTAATTTTTTTTTTAGCCCAGCTTCATTTGGCTTAAGTGCCATCAAGTTGGTGGCACTAGACAGATATCTGGATAGCTTCCCCCCTGAATGATCCATCTTCAACTTAGCCTTTTAATTTGAATCTTTTCTGAGCTTATCTATCTAAAACAGTAATTAGAAGCAGGGGGAAATTAGTATTCTGTGCACTTTGAACTACAGTATTAATCCAATTAACAGACTTGAATAGTAAATAATGAAAATCTTAAGTTTTCTTGTTGGATACTAAAGATGAATAGGCAGTGTTCACTGATTTTCACTATTACAACACTTTATAATGAGGCATTATATAATCTTGAGATAAAGTTTGCCAACATAAACAGAAAGGAAAAAGAAATTCAAGATAACTTTTTTCCAAAAAGAATAGAAACAAAAGATAGTTACATCTCTAAGAAAATCAAATCAATGAACTGGGCAATTCTGTTTAAAGCAGGAGGGCAAAGTGAAGGAACAAATAAAAACAATACTGGTTTGGATGTTTCAGTACTGCTTGACCAACCAGAATCTCTTCCAAAAGGAAAAATATGTTTCAATGGCATCAAGTAGTAGTGAACTTCCATTAACTTAGCATCTATGGAAGACAATCTATCCCAAGCAGTTTCTTTCAGAAAATTCATGGCTTAACCCACTGATCATTTTCTTCCTCAAAGGGCAGAAGAAAGAATAAGACTTGACACTAATCAGTAAGACTTAGATGAAGAACCAGAAAGTATTGGGATTATTGGAAAGTGGAATATAGGGCATTTTGGCCTATTTGCAGATATTTTGATCTGTTTTCTAATGAGATGAAAGCTTTGTCTCTCTTCTGATTTTTTAAAAAATAATTGCATTTTAGTACACTTTCCAATTTCTGTGTTTGTGGTTTTTGTTGGATATCCATGAAGGTTCTATGAGACATTGAGAGACAGCTGAGTTTTTCAGAATATTATCAGTTTCGGGCCAAGTATAATTATGTCTTCTACAATGCTTTATGAAGGACAAAATGTAGTCAGATTCCCACCACTCATTTCGGTTGGGAAGAAGCAGCATGTGTGAAAATGGATGCCAAGGAGAATGAAGAATCTGGGAATGAGGGAGAAGCAAAAAGAGGAAAGGTTAGCATAAAGTGTTATATGTTTAAGCTGTTGTCTTCTATTGAATTAACAATAGAATTAGACAGAGTACGAAAACAAACAAAAAAGCCAAGAATGCAAATTTATAAACAATATTAAGCAATAGTTTTTTTAAAAATCAGAAAGGAATTCTGATTTTTTTAAATCATTGCTTACCATTTTTTATACATTTGTATTCCTGGCTTTTTTGTTTGTTTTCGTACTCTACCCAATTCTATTGATAATTTTATTCCACTGTGTCAAATTTTCTTTCTTGATAAATAGCCATGATTTCTGTGTAAGATGGGCTGAGACATTCAGTCACAATGACACAAAACAAATCCTGATTTAGTATTGTGACGAAACAAAGTCACAAATCAGGAAATTCTGACTCAGAAATATCCTAAAAACCTTCTATCAAATTCAACAAATAGTTGTTATATATCTATTTTTTAAAAAATAAAATCAAAATACAGTTGACTTCTCCCTTTCATAAAGGTTTATTCTTAAGTCCAATATTTCAAGAATGGCACAGAATTAACAAATCAATAACTAATGTGTGATTGCTCTTTAGCAGTTAAGTAAGTCAATTATATGCACTAATGAAATCCAAAAGCACATAAAAAGCCTTGCCTATTTCAGCAACCTTTCATAGATCAATATATCAGCTTTTCTAATTTAATCTCTTTAAATACATATGTTAGCTCAAAACTAGAAAAACAGTTTGTAACAGAGAAATAAAAGAATACAGTATTTTAGTTTCTTATTGATGAATGATTTTAGGTTTTATGACCAGACAACTAAAAATATTCAGAATATTTAAACACCCAAAAAATATCAATCAAGCTCCATTTTCATACATTTTAAAGTTAGTGCTTCTCAAATGCAACAAAATATTGTTTAAAAAGCCAATAACACACATTACTATAAAACATAACATCATCAATGCCATTGCAAGATCACCTGGGAGTCTTTACTCCCAGCCATAGCAACCTTAAAGCAAAACTATTTTCCAAAGCAAGGCCTTTTAATAGAAGTAGCATTTTCACCTACTGCTTATTCTACAATGGTGATTCCTATGAGCCCGATTTTGTTATCCAAGAATCCATTAAATTAGTTGTTATATTACCTTGTGTTTATTACTTCCAGTGCTACAAAACCAAGAGCCTAGAACTTTTAACTGATTCCAATTACATCCTGATGTATGAAATTATCATCTGTTTGAACAAAAAAAAAAAAAACCTACCCTGGCAAGTTAGAACAGTGATATCACCAAAATATTCTTCTTGCAATCACAGCAACTAGTTTCTGTACTTACTTCTTTGAAATAAACTCCACTGAGTTCAGTAGAATTCACTCCCAAGAATTGCTTTCCAGGATACTCTTGCTTAGTATGTTGACACCAAATAAACTTTTGATGCAGCAAGACACACAACCGCAGTAATGGAGATATAGAGGCAAAAAGTTGTAAGCATGGAAGCAATAGCGGGAGCAACAACTATTAACATTATTTAAGAGGGCATATCCCTTGGGTAGTGAGGGACGCTGAAGCAGATCTCGGGGTCAGCACTTACTGGCTACAGCGCTTTCCCTTTGTTCATGCAAGTCAACGGAATGGTCCCTTCCCTCGATCGGCACCACGCAAGATGAAGGTACAGATCATCCAAAGTAACTTCTTACGAAGGGATGCCTAAATGCGCACCTGTGGCTACCGGCAAGCCACCAATTCTGAACCCAACTGCTTCGAAGTGTACTGGACGGATGACTTTCGAAACGGTGCTCGAACCCTGTTTCGGTGATGAAAGCGGGTACTTTTTGCAAACCTCCTAATAAAACCTTCCAAGCTGGCCAGGTGCGCCTCTTACAAAACCACGCAAAATCCCAGTCCGGCCGGGGGATGACGGCGTTCATGTCCGAAGACCGACGGTAAGGCAGTTGACCGAGAGAGAGACAGAAAAAGACCTCGCTTGCAACAAAAGGTCTCCTTCCTTCCCGTCGCGAATGCAAGGAAGGTATCGACCCAGCTGGGCCGGAAACTCAACGAGCCCAGGAAATGTTTTCGGGCTTGGAGTTGCCCCGCACCCCCCAACCCCACGGGCGAGAGCGCCGCCCAGGCCATGAAGGAGCGCGAACGGGGGGGGGGGAGAGAAGGAAGAGAGAGGCCCAGTGGTTCACAAGCAGAGCGTTGCCTTCCAGCTCTCCCAGAGATGCCCGAGTGCCCCAGGCCAAGCCGGAGCGAGCTTATGTAAAGCGACAGCACCGAGGATCCCCGCCAGCAACAGCATCGCCAGCATGATCGGGGCCTCCAGCCCAGCCCCTCTGGGCGGCCTACGAGGGCGGGAGAAAACCATGCCTAAGCTGGCCGTCGCACCGAAGGGGCTTCCGGGTTGGCCTTCTGCCGAAGGACTCTCACCTTGTGGATTCTCTTCAGCGCCATCGCGGCGGAGCCTGTGGAGAGAGGCAAGCAGGAAGAAGGAAAGGACGGAGGGGGACTATTTTCCGGCGGCGGAGGGAGCGCAGAAGCTTTTCGGCGGAAGCGGGAGGACAGGTGTGGGTGCCGGCCTGGGGAAGGGGGGGAGCCCGGTGTTCTCTATTGCCTTCTTTCCTGTCGCCCCCACCTCTTTTGCTCGTCTGTCGCCCTTTCACTGCCTGCTCACTTCTCACCGTCGCTCTTCCCCCTTTCTCTCCCCAGCACGCTCGGGCTCTTTCACTGAGTGACTGCCTCACAGAGCAGGGACTGCTCCTTCCGCATCACTCCCCGCGCGAAGTTCTTTATGACGCGATAGGTTAATAGGATTCCTCCGCTAGGAGTCACGCATGCGCTTTTGGATGTTATTCGGCTTGGGGTGCGCGGAGAAGCGTCGTGGTTTTTCACAGGTCGGGAAGCGCCTTATACGCCGCGCGCCCGGGAACAGGCGGCCCGAGATGGCACAAGGCCCTTCGGCCGCGGACAAGTAATTATCCTGAAAAGAGGAAGGCGGACGGAAGGATATTCTCTCCTAGGAGGAGAAAAACGAGAACTCGAGAATTTACCGCGAGATTGTGGAAATAACAGGAACTGTGGCTGGTTGGAACGAAAGAGACGGGGACTCGCAAGTATAGCTGCGTGGAATTTGCTCCTCCTTCGTGATTTGCACGAAAGAACCCCCTTGGCTCACTTAAGAAAGAAAAGGACGCAGTAGTAGATCTTTCCCGTGTATTACTGCTGCTGTTGTAATATATGCACAATCAGAACACTTGTTTTTCTTCGGGTTCAGTTCTGCGCCTTGGGTGTGTAGGGCGAATTAAGGATCATAGTGCACGTTTTTCTACATTCGCTTGAAAAACCAAAATGCTGTTTGGATCTCAAAATGCATTAGATGAATTTATAATGTAAGTTATACTTACATTATAAATGTTCACCAATACCCTGCTGTTCCCCAAGGGGTTTCTAAATTTATGTAGGAAAATCTGGATTCATGGGTACAAGATTGGCAGTACCTGGTTCAACTATAGTAATTGTGAGAAGCATCTGCACATCCAGATAAATCACAGATTAAGCGTAGCCTGGTGTCAGCTCTTCAAAGTAGTCCAGGCAAAAAACCAAAACCATAAATACCAATGCTGTATTTATTGTAAGCTTCTAGGAACAGAATCTTGCAAGTCTGCAAGCACTTCCCCTCCTCCCCTGCCTTTGCTTTCCAGAGAACTAGGTAGGATCCCTTCCGAGATCCTTATTCTACCCCCATTCCTCTTTAGGACTCAGATTTTGTTTACCGGGCCATTGCATAGACTGCATCTCTCCCTTCTGCCTCCTAACATTACTCTCACAGCCCATTTACACCCACCAAATTGCTGCAGCTGCCAAAGAACCAATGGGTTGTATCAATAAAAAGATACCTGAGGTTCAGAGGAAAGGATAATTTTATGCTGCAATGGACCTGGAACACTGTGTCTTAGTCTGGTCACCACAATTCAAGAAGGGAACTAAAAAGCATGCAAAGAAGAGAAATGAAAATGATGAGAGGTTTGTGGCTAAATATGAAGAATGTTTTAAAGAAACTGAATTGAAGAGAAAACAAAGGAGCATCATGACGGTAGTCTTACAATACTCGACAGGCTGTCAGAGGAAGTGTGTCTGAGTTTATTCTCCATAATGTCTAAAGACCAATGAATGGAAGTTTTACAGAAAGAGATAAGAAGGAATTCCCTAATTGTAAGCAGTGGAACATCCTGCTTCCTTGGACTTGTGGGTGTTCCATCACTTCAGGTTTTTAAACAAAGCTACCTGCCTCGGATGGTGTAAGGAGTCTTTTCTTGGGCAGAGTATTGGATTAGAAGGCCTATAAAAACTTTTCTAATCCTATAAACTCTGGAACAATTCAATGTCTGATGTGCATCAAATTTCATAAGTTCAGTGGAATATTGTGCTGATAAATCATGTGCATGGCATGTCTTTTCCAGATATGATATAATAAGTATAACTTACATTAAGCATAATTATTGAACTTAGGTGATGGAACTGTTTTTTTTTTTTTCTTCAGAGCACTAATGTGATGATTATGCATGTTGCAAGTCCCCAATCCAAAAGGTTTTATCCTCCGTTGTACTTATCAATGGCAGGCCATTATGATACTGTTGCTAATTTCCATCATTGCTGCTGCAGCTTGTTTATATAGTTCTCCACAAGCTCTGCTCTTTCAATTGCTTTTTTCCTCTTTGTTATACTTTAGAGATGTTTCCAATTCTGATCAAAGACCCTGGTGGCTGGAGAAAGAAGAGACAGCTTAGGGATTCTTCCATTACTGGAAGATGGCGCAAAATTGAGAAAGGCTGTTCTAGTTTTTAAGAACAGGAAAGAAAAAAATATGTTGTGCTTTATAAAATGACAGATGTGCTATTTCAGAAAGTTTGGTTGTTCTTATCTCTATAGTAGTTTTTGCAGCTCAGCCCAGTCTGCAAACTGTGGGCACTTTAAAACAGTCAAACAATAGAAAAAAAACCCCTATTAAATTAGTACCTTCCTCATCCCCAGATAGTCACTACTATTGGTGAGCACGTTAAAAGCCTACTATCATATAAATATAGACAAAAAGTAATTCAAACAAGGGAATTAAGAAATAATATGATATGAATAATTGCAAATTTTTCTAATGCTTTCAATGTCACACTATTTTCCTTCAAAATAAATGCAGCTTTATTTTCTGATCACACAGTAAATGTTTACAGCTCTTCATATACAGAATCCATTTGTTGACATAAGCATTATCATGAACCCATAGCAGGCTGATATCCAGATAATTTTGAAATCTTTTCTATAAGTAAATGTTCAAGAATCTTCTGCCAGCCAAATTAAGGGGAATTGTGGACTCCAAAGATATTTTAGCTCAGGGAGGGATGTGTATGGAATAGACCAGAACACAAAGGTAAGACTTAAAAAAATTCTCAGATAGTATTTGTTAAATGACTTTTAGATTCTGCTATTTTTTTCCTTATATTTTTTATAAAATTACATGATTTATTTCTCAGTTCTTGCAACCTACCCTAATCCACAAACTTTGGGGAGTTTATATAGAATGTAAATACAGAATACAAAGAAATAAAAAAGTACAATAAATAGAAATGCTTCAAGTGGCCACAACACCTTTCAATCCTGGTTAAAATGGGTTGGCAAAATAACAGGTTGTTGTTGTTTTACAAAACCTAGGAAGGCAGTGACTGCTCAAAATTCCCTAGGCAAAAAATTCCAAAATCCAGGGACTGTTACAGAAAAGAACTGCTCCATGTCCCAGGTCCAGGCAGGCTTTCTGTCTCAGTACGTGCAGATTCAAGTATGGCAAGCCGGGAGCTGATGGAATCTGATGCCGCCGCTTACATGGCTTTGTAGATTTTCACCAGCATTTTGAATTGAGCCCAAAAGCCTAAACTGGTAGCCAATAGTATTCCTCTACCATTACAGGATTGCCTCATCCTTTTTGTCTAGCTGCAGTTTCAGTACCATCTCTGAAGGCTGCCTCAGGCAGGAATGAAACACATAGCATCCCCATCCCCAACCTTTGTAGGTATCCATCAGGAAACCACTGTCAATGGTATCAAAAGCTACTCAGATGTCTTAATACAACCAGAGCCAGAAAACACTTGTTGAATTCTTAAAGAATATTTTTTTTTCTGCAGACATAAAGCAGGGCTTTTCAACCAGTGGTATGGGTACCACCTGTAATACATTGGCACCTGACAGGTGGTACGCGACCATACTAGAAAAGTGGTAGCGGGGGAGGGGAATGAGCTGAACCAGTGGCAGTACCACACAAGCCTGAGCGAGAGATGGCTGGAGCTGCAGGGCTGTCAGGGCTCAGTGGAAGCGCCAGGATCAGTGCCAGGCTCCAGCTGATCAGCGCTTCTTTGGGGCTGTCAGGGCTCAGTGGAAGCGCTAGGATCAGCGCCAGGCTCCAGCTGGAAAGTAGCACTGATCCTGGCACTTCTGAGCCCAGAAGAAGCACCAATCAGCTGGAATGTTGCAGCATCTCCAGGGTCTTGTGATTTACATTCAGATGCTTGGCAACTGATTCATATTTATGACAGTCACAGTGTCCCAGGGTCATGTGAAGTGACCGAAACCTGCTGCAACCACCCAGCAGATGGGGGGAATAAAAACCAACCCCCCCACCCCAACCCCTCTGCCAATCCTCAACAGAAATGCTCACAACAATGAAAACCTCGGACAGGAGGAAGAGCGCCGCCGGGTGAGCAGGCAAGTGTCTTGCTCAGCTGTGGCTTGGGGGGCACTTTTTTCAGTGCTATTGTAACTTCGAACAGTCACTAAGCAAATTGTTGTAAGTTGAGGAACTACCTGTACTTTATCACTTTTTTCCTTTTTTGGGGGGGTCATCAAGTTTTTGACACTTTGCTAGGCGACTGGTGGTATTCGGATATTGTCATGTAGTACAATGGGTGAAAAGGTTGAAAAGCCCTGACATAGAGAACTATCCAACAAGATACAGTTTAGTGGTGAGAAAAGCAAGGTCCTACGCTTATGAGGAAAAACCAAACAGATACCGAATAGGTGGTATCTGGCTCAACAAAAGGAAAAGGGATCTTGGTGTCCTAGTGGGCCTTCATTTAAGTCTGAGCCAGCAGAGTGCTGCTGTTGCTAAAAGAGCCGATATACTGTAGTCCAAGGGATGGCATCAGAGCAATAGAGATCACAAAAACTAATAGCACTGCTCTTTACTGCACTAATGAAGTCACTCAGTTGAAATACTGTGTCCTGGTCACCATGATGCAAAAAGATGCTGAGATTCTAGAAAGAGTGCAGAGAAGAGCAGCAATGATGATAAGGGGTCTAGAGAGGCTTAATTGTATGATGACTGGTTAAAGAACTAGTATGTCTAACTTAACAAAGAGAAGGATTAGGGGTGACATGATAGC